TTTATCTCCAACTTCTCTCTCTCTCTCTCTCTCTCTCTCTCTCTCTCTCTCTCAGGTCAGTGCCATCTTTTAAACTTTGTTTTAGCTCAGGCAAAGATGGTGGTGTATGTGAGCCGGGAAAAAAAAGTAGAATAACTTATAATATAATAAACTAATAATTTTAGTTTTTACAGAGCGACTTTTGACCTGGAGAGTTTCAGGCTGATGTGGGGACACAGAGAGGTTCTCTGATCCGTCACAGACCAACAGCTGGTCTATGGACATGTGATTCATTTATAGTTTCTATATGAGAACATAAACTATATAAATGTGATTTATCACGTTTTATTTACAGTGTAAATAGCTAAAAATAAAGGATGGTTTTAAAAATCAAATCTCTCTGTCTCTCTTTCACAGGTTGGCAGGACGAGTTTGACAGGAAACTGTCTCAGAACAGTTTGGGGGAATTAACCAAGTTCGGCAGCAAGACGACACTCGCCCGCAGGGTGAGAGAGAGTGTTTGTGTGTGTGGTGGTGTGTTATTGTGTGTGTGTGTGTGTATGAGTTTTAATTATGAGTGTATGTATGGGTTATGTGTGTTTGTTATTATATGTGTGTTCAGATTCAGATCCCATGGAGTACATTTATCTGCAGCTTACCCCGTTCACAATCATACAAACAACATCCAATATGATACTTTTCAAAAAGCACAGGTCAACAAACAGACATAAAAGATTATGGAGGTAAAAATAAATAGTATAAAAGATAATAATATTATTTTTCAATGCATTCTCCCAGAGTGCAGTGATCTTGGTGCTGACCTTGACAATGGTATACAGGCTGTTCTTGTCTTTCATGAATCCATTGAACCAACAGATAAAAGGAAAAGTAAGTGTGTGTGTGTGTGTGTGTGTGTGTGTGTGTGTGGTTCTTGGGTTAGGGCCCATCAGTAGAGGTGCAAGGATCGAAACTTTGTTCTCCTGTTTAGTAGACAATCCACTTTTTCGTCCTGAGACAGATGCCAGCATCTGAGTAACATTTGATTGTCATGTGTGATCAGGACACGTACCGGCGACGTCAGGTGCAGCGCTCTGTGACTCGTCAGATGTCATTCGACCTGACAAAGCTGATGGTGACGGAGGATTGGTTCAGTGACATCAGCCCGCAGACCATGAGGAGGCTGCTCAACATCGTCTCTGTCACAGGTCCTTGACCCCTTCTACTTCCTGTCCTTCCAGTCATGTCGTTCTACAGATGTTTTAACAGATGATGTGTGTGTGTGATCAGGTCGTCTGCTTCGAGCCAATCAGATCAGCTTCAACTGGGACCGCCTGGCGTCGTGGATCAACCTGACGGAGCAGTGGCCCTATAGGACGTCCTGGCTCATCCTGTACTTGGAGGAGACAGACGGCGTACCTGATCAGGCCACACTCAAGACCGTCTATGAGAGGTCGGCGGGAGACCAGATTTCAGTTAAAGGTCAAAGGTCATCATCTGTGTGACATGATAACATTATGACATGTTCTCCCTCTCTCAGAGTATCCAAAAACATCCCGACCACGAAAGACGTGGAGCCGCTCCTGGAGATCGACGGAGACATTCGCAGCTTCGAGGTCTTTCTGTCATCACGGACCCCCGTCCTGACGACCAGAGACATACGCACGTTTCTGCCGTGCACCGTCAATCTGGACCCAAAACTACGAGAGATCATCGCAGGTAACATTATGATGCAGTACCTGCACTCACCACTATTTGCGAAATATCTGTCCTGAGAACTGATTCTGGTGTTTTCTCTGTCTAATTCAGATGTCCGTGCAGCTCGTGAGCAGATGAATATGGGCGGGGTCACTTATTCACCCCTCCCCCTGCAGGAGGCTCAGCCCCGCCCCACCTCTGTCTACAGTCAGGTATCGTCGGCATGCTCACCCTCCGCTTCCTTCAATGGACCTTTCAACCAGCCACCAGGGGGCATCATTTCCCCGCAGCCTCACAGCAGCTACTACAGCGGCATGGCGGGACCACAGCACCCTTTCTACAACAGGGTTAGTACAGGCTGAACCATCGTATGTCACATCATGACATTACTGATGTGGACAGGTGCAGGTCCAGATAAGACTCCGGCTGAGTGACAAGTAATGATGTGATGTCATCACCTGCTCACCTGGTTCACTTCACTCATCATTTATTGAATTCACTCTGAGGCAGCTGCAGTACCAGCTGCAGCCACAGTGTGACAGCAGTGATTCACGCTTTGATTGGATTGGTTCTTTTTATTTTTGTTGTCCAATCATCTCCATGAACATTATTTTGATTTTCTGCCCTCCCCAGCCATATTTCCCCCATCACCTTTACCAGCTGCCACGCCCACTCGTGGCATCCTCCTTTTCATCACACCTTCATCCATGCCCACCACCTAAAGCGTCGTCCAGCAGGGACGCCACCGCTGCACCTGTAAGTACACAACACATCTGAGAGCACTGATTGGTCGATTTTCTTTCGTGAAGAAGAAACAAACATCTGCTCATTTGGGATTGTTCGACTGTTCTCCTGACGTTTTCTTTATGTCCACTGTTTTATTCCTTACAACTCTCTCTCTTACAGTTACATTAATAATATACCAAATCATCAATCAAAAATATATAAGAAGAAATAATGATTAGACAGCAACATGAGAAGGAGAGAAACGAAAAGAAAAACACAGATGGTCGTTTTCTTTGGTTGTGACATCACTGACATATTTAATTGCTTCTTTGACACTGACAGATGATCTTCCTCAAGCAGATGATCTGGGACTTTGTCTTTAATTTTTCTGAAGAACTTTGTTCTCATGTCCTCATATGTGCTGCATTGCTGCAGGAAATGCTGCTTTGTCTCTACCTGTCTGAGTGGACAGAGAAGATACAGCCCTAACCCTAACACTAACAGACAGACACTGTCTCTATAACTGGAAACTGTGTCTGTACATAGTGAAAGACTTTCTCAGTGTCTCATCAGTCACGGTGCTCAGATCTTTAACCACTGTGTTTTGTCTATTTAGGGCAAAAAAGATGGACGTTTGCTTTGAGTTTTTGTGGTGGACGTCCAATAGTTAATAGTAGTTTTGTTTTTCATGAGCTATTTGGTTGGTGCAGATAGTGTGAGGTCTGTCCTGAGGTCTGCTGCTGTTAGAGGAGGAGGCCTTAGGATCAGATGGCTGAGAGAACTCCTCTTGCTCTCTCTTTGTTTGTCTGTCTCTCTCTGCACTGCATGCTGGGAGTTTCTCTGAGTGGGAAATCTTTTACACTGCGACTCTCTTCGTCTATATTCTGCATGTTTCATTTTGACAGATAAGAGCGTTTTCATTATATGATCAGTCTAAAAAGTTGTAAAACTTTCCTCCCTGAGGAGGATTCACGTGTCAGACACAGGGTTAGAGTCGTGGCTGAAGCTCGGTACATTGTGGAACAAGTTCTCCTGGCTGTAGGAGAACAGATCGGACAGGAGAATATCACATAAATCTCTCGGATGAAGAAGGCCGTGGTGGCCTTAGTTTGGGAAGAGTGCCTGATTCACCTGCTGGTTGAAAAAGGCCTGATGCTGGCGGATCAACTCATTGTGTTCTTGCCTTTGTTTGTGAACCTCTTGCTTCACTAATGATGGCGTCTGTTCAAATGACTTTTTTAAACATTTAAAATGTTTAAGTCTAACTTTTTTTTTTCACGTGTTCAGGGTTCGGCCTCCGTTGTGTCAGGCCCTCCTGCCATCCTCCTCAGCTCCATGACAACGGAGGCAGTTTGTGAGCGTGTGCGGCAGATCGAAGGCATCGACCAAAGCATGATGGGACAGTATGCCACCACCATCAGGAAGGTGAGTGACACAACAACGTTATTGTGTTCTGAGCATGTGAAGCCTAACACGTTTCACCAAGATGAAATTATTAATTTAATTTTTCTTACATCCTTTTTCAGGCAAACGTCAACGGAAGAGTTTTGTCTCAGTGTAACATTGATGAACTGAAGAAGGAGATGAATATGAACTTTGGAGACTGGCAGCTCTTCAGAGCCACGGTTAGTATGAACACTGAAAACACAGATGTTCTAACATGCGTAACAACTCTGATCATATTGATTAGGGTTTTAGTCGTTTTCTATTTTTACTACTACTCATGTCCACTGTCCATGTAAAGTTGATTTATACATATTTAAACAAATTAAAGAGAAAGTTGCAGAAACAGGCAATA